CCTACCGTTAAGCTCATCTCTCTTTTTCCCTGCCCTGCCTTTCCAGCACAGCCATCAGTGAACCATTTGCCTCTCTTCTGACCATTTTGGGCACCGAGCTGTGTTTACAGTTGCTGGTCCAACTGCTAACTGAGCAGAAGATCCTCCTGACCTCAGTCCAGCCAGATCTGCTGGCTCACATTGCTCAAGCTCTCATCTCTGTACGTTTCCTCCTGCCAACGATGACGACATATTATTTCATTAACGTGTCTACTTGCAAATCGCAAGTAGTATTACTCGATTATGCATTTTTCATTGGTAGATCATCTATCCCCTGCGCTGGGTGCTAGTGTACATTCCATTCATCCACATCCGCTGTATTCACGTCATCCAGTCGCCGTCGCCCTACCTCATTGGTGTGGATTCCCGTTTCTTTGAGTTTTTCCGACTGCCCCAGGGTGAAAATATCACCTGCATTGATCTGGATACTCGCAACTTCCGTGCCGCCACAGAAAACGCCTTCAAGGACACCAAATGCCTTCCAAGGGTGAGTGTATTTTTTGACACTCTTGCCACATGCTTGTTTATTGTTCCAGGGAACTTCGTGCCTTTTTGGGTTTCCTTGTGCTAAAGTAGTGGTTGTGTAATAACATAGTTCTTAAACAAAACAAAGCGCCATTGCCCCTCTTCAGAGAGCCTGTCTTACCTTTGCAAAGTGCTCTCGATAAGTTTAACCAGAGCGCGGGGACCATGATCCTTGGGACGTCCAATAATCTGCTTAAACTCTGGTTTGCCAGTACTTTGCTTACTTGTCCCTTTTTAGTTGACCCAATTGTCAGAAAACTCGCGCCGTTCGGCGGGATTTAAACCCGCATAACAAGGAAGGCCTTTACGCAGCCAATGCTTTACAATTTGAGCTACAAACACCATGCCTTGCGCCGTGAATTAAATAATTATATCAGCCTAGTAGTCATTCTGGTGGATTCTAAGTGATTGCTTTGGAAATCCTGGTTGGGCAGTCAGCTTGCTATTCCGCATTTGTGGATTCCACACGAAGGGTAAAGTTCGGCGGGTAAAAATCTCTCCAAGTGTGATTAAATTCACGGCGCAAGACGTGGCGTTTTTAGCTCAAGTGGTATAGCGTTGGCTGCGTAAAGGCCTTCCCTGCTATGCGACTTAGAATCCCGCCGAACGCCGCGATTTTTTTCTTCACAATTGAGTCAACTAAATTAAACAAATCTGCCAAACCTAAATTACTTGTACTTGTTACAGCTGCACTCTCATGACTGACCTATCCGGCCAGCATTTTGTCCCCGAGTGTAACTACACGTCGGACACAGTTTTCAAATGAGGCATTTTGAGCAAATGCTGAATACAGGCGGTTCCCCGACAGCCGCTCGGTGTGTTTGTTTGAGGTTGTCTCTCCTCTAACGGTTTGGATCAAGCGCCTAACAATTGTGGCAAGCGGTTCGCGCTCGCCATGTCGCGGTACCGTCCACAGGTCCTCAAGGCTCTAGCAGGTACATCCTGGGGCTGCGCGAAAG